CAACATGCTAGTGGAATTACTACTGCCAGCAAATGGGCAAGTTAAAGAAATAAAAGGCATCCAAATTGGTAAGGAAGCAGGAAAACTCACTATTTGCAGATGACATAATACTACATACAAAAACCTAAAGACTCCATCAAAAAGCTATTATAACTAAGAAATGAATTCAGTGAAGGTGCAGGATACAAAACATACAAATCTGTTGTTTCTACACACTAATAAACTATCAGAAAGAGAAATTAAGAAAACAATCCCATCTACAACTTCATCAAAAAGAATAGTATGCCTAGGAATAAATTTAATCAAGGAGGTGAAAGAACTGTACTCTGAAAAATATAACATTGAAAAAAGATACTGAAAATGACACAAATAAATGGAAATATATATACCATGCTCATGGATTGGAATTAATAGTATTAAAATGGCCATACTACACAGAACAATCCATACATTCAATGTAATCCCTATCAAAACATCAAAGGAATTTTTCACAGAACTAGAACAAATAATCCTAAAATTTGTATGGAACCATAAAAGACTCCCAACAGCCAAAGCAATTTTGAGAGAGAGAACAAAGCTGGCAGTATATTACTGGATTTTAAACTGTACTACAAAGCTAGAGTAATCAAAACAGTATGGTACTGGCACAAACACAGACATATAGATCAATGGAATAGAATACAGACAGCCCAGAAATAAACCCACACTTCTACAGTCAATTAATCTATGAAAAGAAGGCAAGAATATACAATGGGAAAAAGACAAGTCTCTTTTAAAAAATGGTACTGTTAAAACTGACAGATACATGCAATGACAGAATGAAACTGGACCACTTTCTTACACAGAATAAAAAATAAGCTCAAAATGGATTAAAAACTTAAATATTAAGAATTAAAACCATAAGACTCCTAGAAGAAAACCTAGGCAGCAAACACTTTGACATCAGTCTTAGCAATATTTTTATGGATATGTCTCCTTGGACAAGGACAACAAAAGGGAAAATAAGCTAATAGGCCTACATCAAATAAAATAGCTTTTGCACAGCAAAGGAAACCATCAACAAAATGAAAAGGCAGTCTATTTAATGGGAGAAGATATTTGCAAATGATAAAAACCAATAAGGGGATAACATCCAAAATATATACATATCAAAAAATATTTTAAAAAACCCAATCCAATTGAAAAATAGGCAAAGGACTTGAATAGACATTTCTCAAAGGCATACAGATGGCCAACAGGCACATGAAAAGATACTTAACCTCACTAATCATCAGGAAATTCAAATCAATGCAATCTTACCTCACACCTGTCAGAATGACTAGTATCAAAAAAGACAAGAAATAACAAATATTGGGTAGGATGTGGACAAAAGGGAACTCTTGTGCACTACTGGTGGGAATGTAAATTACCACAGCCACTACGGAAAACTGCATGGAGGTTCCTTAAAAAATTAAAAATAGAACTACTGTATGACCTAGCAATACCACTTCTGGGTATTTATCTATCCAAAGAAAACAAAAACACTAATTCAAAAGACACATTTACCTCTGTGTTTGTCATAGCATTATTTACAATAGCCAAGATATGGAAGCAACTTAAGTGTCCATTAATAAATGAATAGGATAAAGATGTGGTATATATACAATGGAATATTATTCATCCATTAAAAAAGAAACAAAATCTTTCCATTTGGAACACATAGATAGACCTAAGGGTATTATGCTAAGTGAAACAATACAAAGACAAATACTGTATGATTCCATTTACATATGGAATTTAAAAAACAAAACATCCAACAAACAAAACAAAACAGAAACAGACTCATAGAAACAAAGAACAAACTGGTAATTGCCAGAGGGAAGGGGGAAGGGGAAAGGACAAGACAGGTGAAGGGGATTAAGATGTACAATCTTACAGTTATAAAACAAATAAAAAGAGGATGTAATGTTCAGGATGGGGAATATATTCAATAATTTTATAAAAATTACATATGGTGACAGATGAGAACTAAACTTATTATGGTGATACTTCATAATGCTTATAAATACCAATTATCATGTTAGACACCTAAAACTAATGTAATACTGTATGTCAATTATATATCAATAAAAAAAAGTTCTCTGAAATAGATTTCACCAGCAACCTTGATCTAATCACTCTTAAATTTTCTGTATGTCTGCCAGGTGTTTGGAAGGAGATTCTATGTACAATATGTAAAGGAGTATTTCTAGGTAAATGAGAGAGACAGAATACACTAAATTTTAAAAAGGTACATATATACTACAACAAAGAGAATGAAAAAGAGAGATACAGATAAGAAAGGAACCAACATCCCAGAAAATGAAATCTGGAGCCAGAAATAGGGGTTAACTCTGTCTATTATTCAATAGTTGATTCCTCTAACCCCAGTAACATGCTGCCACTTTTCCTACACTGGCCAAAGGAAAAAAAAGCATACAGCAAAAATAAGGTTTCTTCTGAAAAAAAAATGAGCAGCTACAGAGCTGACTTCTGCAAGTCAGCATTAGGAATTTCCATGGCACAGCAGCCATCCTCAAAGTCCAACATCAACAGTCCCAATTTCTAAGTGTAGTTCCCAGGCAGCTTTTCAGTGTCTTGCTCCTAAATACGGAGAAGCAAAGACCATAATGCCCCCAGTGAGGCACCAAAAGAAATTAACATAAATTACCCTTTAGGAAACAGATCTAATTGGAGGCACAAACATTTTTTTTTTAATTTCCATCCTCGTTCAAGAAGATAAGCACATCAATAAAGCAAAAAACTATGAAGAATTTCTGGGAATTTTAAAAGCAATTTTGAGAGAGAGAACAAAGCTGGCAGTATATTACTGGATTTTAAACTGTACTACAAAGCTAGAGTAATCAAAACAGTAACAAAAGGGCAGAAATTAATAAAGAAAAATTTTAAAGCTAAGAGTACAAATTGAAAGGTCTACCTACTGCTTAGCACAATGAATGAAAAAACACTCAGGCTAAGACATATTGTAAAATTTCAGAACTCCAAGGATGGAGAAAAGAGCTCAAAAACTTCCATAGAAAAATAAATGATTATCCAAAAGGATAAAGAATATAATTAGGTTTCTTAACAGCAGCACTAAATTTTCAAAAAGAATGAAACAAGGCTTTTAATATTCTTAAAGACATGAATCTAAAGCCTGCAATGGCAATAAGTACATATCTTTCAATAATCACCCTAAATGTAAATGGCCTGAATATTCTTAAAAATATTTTCACCCTAGAATTTTATATGTACCTAAAGTATGACTCAAATATGACAAGAGAATAAATATTTTCAGAATGCAAAGATTTTCGAAAATCACCACATAATCTATTTGTCAAGTTATTTGTGGATTTACTATAGATAATGAGGAACTGAGCAATGAAAGAGGTGGCCATGGGATCCAGGAATAGTGGGGTAGCCAGGATAGCTACAGATTGCAACAGGAGGATATGAACTTTTGGGAAGGAAAGTATACAGAAAATGGAGGGCTCATTAGAACATCTGATTTTTAAAACATATTTAAAAGGAAGAAAAAAAACAGCAACAGCATATGATAGAGAAAAAATCCAATTAGAAGGAAGATGTGACACCTGGCAAACTGAATAATGGCCCTCCCAAACGTGTCCACATCCTAATCTTTGGGCCCTATGGACAGGCTACCTTTCAGATGCAGATGTGATTAAGTTAAGGATCTTGAGATGGAAGGCTTGTCCTGGACTAGCTGCATGGGCCCAGTGTAATCGCGAGGATACTTATAAGACAGGAGAAGGCAAGGTAACCATGGAAGCAGAAAGACAAAGACAAACTAGAAGATCCCACACTACTAGTAGGTTTTGAAGATGGAGAATGAGGTCAAGAGCCAAGGTACGTAGGTGGCAGCTGGGAGCTAGGAAGTACAAGGAAACAGATTCTCCCCTGAAGTGTCTGGAAGGAATGAAGGAATGCAACCCTGATAATATCTTCATTTTAGGACTTCTGATCTCTAGAACTGTGAGAGAATAAAAGTGTATCATTTAAGCCAGTAAGTTTGGGTAATTTGTTACAGCAGCCATAGGAAAACAGTAAGACACCCTGTACAGAGACATACATAAGAGCCAAGACAACTGAAGAACACCAGCAGTCAGTCAGCAGAAGCCAGACATGTGAGAACATCATCTTGGACATTCTGGCCCAGAACAGCCACCAGCTGAATGAAGCTGCAACAGTGGCCTCAGCTGGTAGAACATGAGGCAGAAGAACTCCCTAGTTAATCCAAAGAGTGTAAAGTCACATCTGAGAGTGAAAGGCACCACAGTTACCCTCCCACCTGAAACAACTACAACAGTGGACAACCAATATGAACCAGTGATTCGCAGACACTGACATCAAGGAACACAGGACAGTGATCCTTGAAACAGAAACAAATGAGCTGAGCCCTATAATTGTCTCAGCTTACTACTGCCTGAAGAATTTCTAGACTGTAACACAGGGGATCCCAGACAAAGCCTGGGTACAGAGTAAAGGCATTAAGTGGGAGTGAAGGAGACATCTGTCTAAAAAGCTATCTAAAGAGATTCATATTTGGGAATGCCCCACCTTCCAACCAGCTCTTCAACTGAAACACACTCTACAGCTTAAGATACTTTTAAGACTTGTCCAAGCATCAGTACTACCTGTACCCATTCCTCTATCCTGCTTTCTTGACCAGTTGCTCACTATATCTCACTGTCTCAAATGACGCCCCTTCTTTTATGCATATCCTTGCATAAATCACATCTATGAGTTTAAAATGAATGTGAAAGATTGAGAAAAAATTAAGATATTTGCAAACAGGGATTTACACAAGAGCAGATGATCATATAATACTAGTAGTTGGCCTGGGTTTGTGCCTCAGATTTAGTGATAAAGTGCAAATGTGGCATACGTACATAAGAAACAAGAGAGCCTGAAGAGCTGTCCCAGAGTACCACCTACAGGACAAAACGGAAGAACAGCCTTACCTTGGCTCTATCAGACCACCCGAAGGACTGCACTGTCACATCTAATCGTTTCATCAACATCCGCCGGCGGCACTCATATTCACAGGAAAGAGCATCATTGATTCTTTCCAGCTGTTCCTGAAGAATTTGAAAATAAAAATCATAAACTTTAGGTTTGCTCTTTAGGCAGAGAAAAGAAATTTGAAAATTTTAGTTAATATTTCCTGCTGATTCAAAAGATACTGTACTTGACCACTTTCTGATACCATGAGACATTATGGTAAATGTTCACATTATAAAGAGTATTTGGTAGAACACTGATGATTAAGCATATAAAGTACACTACAATTGATAAAGTTTAACTCATCTTCAATCAAACATATTAAGTAAAATGTCTACTTGCTAAGTCATCTGGACCAATAAGGAAAAGAAAATACCAAAAACATCCCATCTTGCTGGCTTTGAGCTACTATTCTTTTCACATCAAAACTATGCTAACATATTGGGCACTATACTCTTGGCCAGGTATGTTTAAAATTAATTAACAATCTCATCGGAGAAACATTAGGATCTATTACTCTAGAATATCAATATATTTTCATTCTCCGAAATATTAATGCATGCTACACATTATAAAATCTAAATGTCCACTTATAAATTAAGTCATATTCACTGATTTAATTACATAAAACTAATAAAAGTGGGGGATTTACCGCCTGTTCCAGGTTTAAATCGATTTTCAGCAATGGTTTTCCCACATGATTTTTCTGGACTTTTGAGAGAGTATCTTTCACCTAAAAGTAAAAGATTATGAGAATATACATCCTTAATTTAAAACAATCTAATTCTTGCTTAAAATGTTGTTTTGAATGCTAGAAAATAAAATGTTACAGTGAAATAATTAAAATATACCTTCACATACTAGGAAAAGGTATCACCAAAGTGCAGAGAATCTTTTCCAAAGCATTAATTGTATTAATTCAAGCTATAGCACACTTTCTTTTCCAGTCTAAGAAATGTTGTACATAGGCGACTAAAGAAGTAGCTACTAAAAGGTTTTACTACAAGAATCTGTATGTTGTATGTGAAATAATTTGGGGCTTTCTTCTTAAGATGGCACTCTCTTACATTCTGGTAAGTTCTCAAAAGAGATACTAAAATCTTTGATTAGCACACTGATTTTTTGCAATTAAATACTACACACATTCTAATTTTAATTATTCTGCTTTCACTGCTCAGCAACACAACATAGGGGGGCAAGCCCTTTCAATTAGTTACCACATACACATTTCATTATTTTTACAAAGCCACTAATTTGCATTACTTAAAATGTTTTATTTTGGTGAACAAGATATTAGGCATTCAGTTTTGCTTTGGCAACATCGGGGGTCATTTCTAAAACAGTAACTTATTCTGAAGAAAATGACTGAGAAATTATAGCCTAAGTTGGACTCACCCTCCCAACTGGAGAATCCTTCATTATCTAATGAAAATATTTCAAAACTGAATGAAATATTTAGTTTCTCAGGTATAATGTAACCAGGGAAAACTATCTGGAGCAGTTCAGATTTTGAGAGATGTAAAGCTTATTTAATGTTGGGGGTCTTCTTTAAGAAAAAGGATTAGAAGTTGTGAACACAAAATTAGCTTGGAGACTGGTGGTGGTAATAGGGAGTGATTGTAAATGGGTGCAAGGTTTCTTTTGAGGGTGATGGAAATGCTCTAAAATTAGATTTTGATGATGGTTATACTCTATAAATGTACTAAAATTCACTGAATTGTATACTTAAAATGGGTGAATTTTTTGGCACATAAATTATATTTTAAGAAAGCTGTTTTTTAAAAATTAGCTTAGGAAGGAACTTATGAAAATAAGGGGCCCCAAAGCTTAGGGTTTGCTTCACAACAAATCTTCCTCTACAACAATGATACAACTAAATACATTTCTTACATATTATAATTAACTTATTTTCTTAAAATATACCATTTCTGGAGATTCCTCAATTTCTATAGATACTTCCAAGTTTGGTTGGTATTTCATATGTTACTCAAAGTTTTAGTTTTAACTCCTCACTCAAGAGGGATTCTGAATGCACACTTGTAGATTCTTACATGTAATAATTCAGCTACATTACCAAGATTTCACTATGAGATAACAGTTTTTATAAGTCTGAGTTACTTGTGATAGAGAGGGAGATAAAGCATACACTCCAGAGGTTGACTGCCTGGGTTCAACCCTCAGATCTATCATTACTACTTAGAATCTTGCTTGTCTAATTTATTAAATCTTTCAGCACCTCAGTTTCCTCATATGGCCATTAAGAAAATAATAGCTCCTATACCTCACTATAGATGATGTGAGAATTAAATGAGTTATTAAATATATATACATTTAGAACAGTAAATGCTTTATATGTTTGCTGTTAATATTACTGTAACTATTTTAGATTCATATTTGAACAGCTTCAAGTTAGAAAATAATGATAATTTTCTTCCCCAAGGGGGACAAAGTGTATTTGAAACATACCACACATAGAAGAAAGTAAAGAAATTTTTGCTTTTGATAGGAACTAAATGGAGAAGGAAGTTCTTTTAGGTAAATATCTATCCATGATGGCCATGGTCAACAACTACCTTACAATTAGTCTGCCAGCATTTGAACATGGGCATTATAGTCTGCTTCAAGGAGGGAAAAGAGGTTTAGGAATGTTGTTAATACTAATTGAAACCCATAAAATAGGAAAACCCTCTTTGGAATCAGTACGTGGAAGCCCTGGAAGACTAGAAAAAGCCCAGAAATCTGTCTCCACTTGAAATAATTGCAGACATTTTAGCCAGCCCTAGATCATTCTTAATCCAGAGGAAAAAAAGAAAATAAAACTCCTGAAGAGTAACTTGTTAACTCAGGAACTTTTTTTAGCTGGAATTTACAGACTTATTCTATGTATGAATTTCTTTTCTTTCTTTTAATTTTTAAAAAATTTATTTGAAAGAATTCTTCTATTTTATAAAGAAAATTTCAAAAAGCCTGAAGTACATAGTTTTTGGCTATTTCTAACTACTCCATCAGGGTAATCATTCATTCATTCACTATAAACAAACACTAAACACTTACCCACCCAAAATTGTGCTTTCTCACTGCCAAAAACAACCTCATTGCAATCTATTAATATCCATTTAAAAACATTTTAATTTGTCTTTGAAATATAACTCTACCTTTTTCATTATACTGCACTACAACCTTGTTTAGGAAAGGGATCCTTAAATTTGCAAAGTGATTTCTATGACATCAAACCCTAAGGGCACTCACTCATTAAGCTCTGATTCCTAAATATTAGTTATAAACAAATTAGGTCACATGCATGTTAACTCAAAATCCAAAATTTAGTTTTACATGAAAACAAACTTCTCTTGAAATGGAATATCTTCTAAGTAAAGGAAATATTATTATTTTTATGAGATTTACATGTCAGGATTTAGTCGAATTTTTTGGAAATAAAAAATGAAATGAATACATTACCTTTGATTCCACTTGGTTTAGCATAAGTGGAATGTCAGAAGTTGTTGACTTGGATATACCAAGAGTATCACAGAGAGCTTCAACTTCCTGATAAATTTCACTGTTTTTATCTAATTGAGAATTTTTACATTTCTTGTTCTGTAATATCTGTAAAGCTTGAAGCTCTGTACTTAAAAATACTATAATAAAACAAAAGGGAAAAAACAAATAATGTTAAAATGAAGAAGAACTCCTTAAAAAAAAAATCCCTCTTCTGAGTATACACGCAAAGGAACTGAAACCAGGATTTTGAAGAGATCTGTACTGACATATTCACTGCAATACTGTCAATAGCCAAGATATGGGAACAACCTGTGTCCTTCAACAGACGAATGATTAAGGAAAATGCAGTTTATACACACAATGGAGTAGTATTTAGCTTTAAAAAAAGGAAACCCAGCAATTTGTGACAATATGCATGAACCTGGAGAATACTGTGCACAATGAAATAAACCAGACACAGAAGTGATATACTATGTAATATCACTTTCATAAGGAATCTAAAAAAAGTAAAACTCATAAAGCAGAGAGAAGACTGGTGGTTGCCAGGGGATGGGAAAGAGAGAAAACTGGAAGATACTAGTTAAATAAAATTTTCTGAAAAATTGGTCATCTATTTTAATGAAGTTTTGAAAGCAGAGGGACCTTGGCATAGTACTCATAAGCACAGTTTGATATACTGGTCAGTTATATAAGATGAATAAGTCCTAGTGCCCATAGTTAACAATTCTGTATTTTATACTTACAAATTTGATAAGAGGGTAGATTTTATGTAAGTATTCTTATCACACACACACACACAAGAAAAAAAACAAACAGGCAGGGGGAAACTAGAAAAAAAAAAAAGAATACCTTTCCTATAAAAATTTTAAAATCCAGTAAGAGAGACCCACCAGTAATGAACTATTCAAGAATGTATAAGAATGAGTAAGACTGATAAAATATTGTCTCTCTCATATGTACAGGATGCTCAAACCAGGAAAAAAAAGATATATAATCAGACAGAGCAATCTGACTATTTGCCTTCAGGATGGACCACCCCTTGTTCACAAGTCCCTTTACTGTCATTTTAATTAATCCTTCCAATAGCCATTCAAGAAAATTACTCAAAAATCTTAGATGGTTACAGTCTTGTTTTAAATTAACGTTTATTACAATAGTTAAAATACTGGGTTTTGTTTTTTTTTGTTAAAGCTATACACACACACACACAATTCAGTAGTTTCATCTTCATCTGAGAAACTGTTTAAAAGTACAGGCATACCAACAGGCACATGAAAAGATGCTCCACACCACTAATCATCAGGGAAATGCAAATTAAAACCACAATGAGATATCACCTCACACCAGTAAGGATCGCCATCATCGAAAAGACAAACAACAAATGTTGGCGAGGTTGTGGAGAAAGGGGAACCCTCCTATACTGCTGGTGGGAATGTAAACTAGTTCAACCATTGTGGAAAGCAGTATGAAGGTTCCTCAGAATGCTCAAAATAGAAATACCATTTGACCCAGGAATTCCACTCCTAGGAATTTACCCTAAGAATGCAGCACTCCAGTTTGAAAAAGACAGATGCACCCCTATGTTTATCGCTGCACTATTTACAGTAGCCAAGGTATGGAAGCAACCTAAATGTCCATCAGTAGATGAATGGATAAAGAAGATGTGGTACATATACACAATGGAATATTACACAGCCATAAGAAAAAAACAGATCCTACCATTCGCAACAACATGGATGGAGCTAGAGGGTATTATGCTCAGTGAAATAAGCCAGGTGGAGAAGGACAAGTACCAAATGATTTCACTCATATGTGGAGTATAAGAACAAAGGAAAACTGAAGGAACAAAACAGCAGCAGAATCACAGAACCCAAGAATGGACTAATAGTTACCAAAGGGAAAGGGACTGGAGACGATGGGTGGGAAGGGAGGGATAAGGGCGGGGAAAAAGAAAGAGGGCATTACGATTAGCATGTATAGTGTGTGGGGGACATGGGGAGGGCTGCGCACCACAGAGAAGACAAGTAGTGATTTTACAGCATCTTACTAAGCAGATGGACAGTGACTGTGAAGGGGTATGTGGGGGGGACTTGGTGAAGGGGAGAGCCTAGTAAACATAATGTTCCTTCTGTAATTGTAGATTAATGATACCAAAATAAAAAAAATTTAAAAAAGGATTTTTTTGAAAAGAAAAAAAAAAGTACAGGCATACCTTGTTGTTTGTTTTTTTTTTTAAGGAATATCCCTTTTATTACTTTCAAAGACATGCCATGAACAGAGCGTGAGCTTACAGAATGGCGCCTAGGAGAGACCCTTTTAGAGATCTGTTGTCATGAAGACCTAAGAGTAATTTATCACTGTTTTCAGCTCTTTATCTGAGGCTGATATTCCAGCAAGACACACTGAATTGGACTTCTGGCCATTCTGATAATTGGGCCGTCAGTTCCTGGCCGTATTAGCAATTAAAATTTTTTTACTAACATGCCGATTGTATTAATTTTCTATTGCTGCTGTTAAAAGCTACCACAAATGTAGTGGCTTCAAACAACAAGCATTTATGATCTCACAGTTCTACAGGTCAGAAGTCTGGGTGCCATGTGGCTCAGTGGGGTTAGTTGAGGAGGCCAACTAAAGGTCAGCAGGGCCATGTTCCTTTCTGGAAGTTCCAGGCACGTGTTTGCTTTGATGAACCTGTTCTCAAACTGATTCAGGTTGTTGGTCAAATTGAGGTCCTTGACTGAAGTCTCCATTTCCTTGCTGGCTGTCGGCTGGGGGGCGGGTTGTGCTGATCGAGGGTGTCTGCCATCCCTCTTGTGCTTTCCACGAACCTCCTCCTAGAGACAGCAGGTCAAGGCCCTTCCATGCTCCAAATCTCTCCAAGTTCCTCCTGTAACTCATTTCTCTGACTCCACCTGAAGAAAATTCTCCACTTCTAAGTAATTTTGTAATTAGGTTGAGAGAGTCCTGATAATGCAGGATAATCTCCCTATCACAAGGACCAACCCTAGATACATCTGCCAAGTCCCTTTTGCCACATAATGTAACATCTTCACAGGATCCAGGGATTTGGACATGGACATCTTTGGGGAGCGGGGAAAAGTGGAGTGATTTCCACTTGGTTGTACGCACATGAAAATGTTTTATCTTCATATCGTTTAAATGTTCTCCTGTAGATCTTACCTACATCAATCATTTTAATTCCACAGATGCTTTTTTCCCCCATAAATAACTCAAAGTTAAATTTTGGCGCAGGCAAGTATCCCAGCTGCAACCCATTATTTCAAATTAGTGGAGTCCAAAATAGTGAAATGCAAAGTAAAAGAGAAGCTCTAATACTATTGTGGCCAAAGGGATGTGTTTAGCCTTGTTATAAACTTACAGCCTTGCAGGCTCAGAGATACTAACACTTTGGGCCTCTGGGCATTGGGTTAATTAACAAATATGATATGTTGTTCACATGGGAAATGTCTATAAAATGGCACCAAGATTGTTGTCTCACAAGTATTTCATCACAATCACAACATATATGGATAGGGAGCCCAAAAACTTGATGGTAAGGGGGTGGCCAAGGCTGCTGGCTATGTGGTGAGACATGCAAAGGTGATAAAAGCAGAAAAACCACCAGCCTTGAGCAAGTGCCCTGTGTGCACTCAAGTTACTGTGACGGTCATTTGGTGGCGTGGTAAGGATGCTTCCTTATAGCTATTCCCAACCCAGGCTTGACTCCAACAGGCTGGAGAAGCAACTATTTTGCCTCCATTCTGTGTAAGAGAACCAGAAATCTAATCCTCAATATGGTAGTTTTCTGCCTTCCCCCCAACCCATAAAAATCCAATTTTGTTTTTACATGCTACACAGCCTCCTTGTGACTCAGGAAGGAACAGATGCAGGTGGTGATTAAGTAATTCATCAAAGATGACACCCTGGCAAAACAGGCTTACCTTGTTTTATTGTGTTTCACGGACACTGTGTTTTTAACAAATTGGAAGTTTGTGGCAACCCACGAGCAAGTCTATTGGCACATTTTCCCAAAAGCATTTGCTCACTTCATGTCTCTGTGACAGTTCGGTAATTCTCGCAATATTTCACTTTTTCATTATTATTATATTTGTAATGGAGATCTGTGATCCCTGATCTTTGATATTACTACTGTAATTGTTTTGGAGTGCCACAAACCATGCCATATAAGACAGCATAAACTTAATTGATAAATGTTGTGTTTGTTCTGACTGCTCCACCAACCAGCTGTTACCCCATTTCTCTCCCTCTTCTCTGGCCTCCCTATTACAAGAGACACAACAATATTTAAATTAGGCTAATTAATAATTCCACAATGGCTTCTAAGTGTTCAAGTGAAAAGTAAGTCTCATGTTTCCCACTTGAACTCAAAAGTTAGAAATGATTAAGCTCAGTGAGGAAGGCACATCAAAAGCCAAAATAAGCTGAAAGTTAGGCCTCTTGTGCCAGTCAGAAAAGTTGTGAATGCAAAGGAAAAGTTCTTGACGGAAATTATATGGGCTACCCCAGTGTATGAGTAGGAAGCAGAACAGCCTTACTGCTGATATGGAAAAAGTTTTAGTGGTCTGAACAGAAGATCAAGCTACAACATCGCCTTAAGCCAAAACCTAGTCCACAGCAAGGCCCTAACTTTCTTCGATACTATCCAGGCTTGAGAGAAAGATGACGAAGCTGCAGAAAAATCTGGAAGCTAGCAGAGGTTTTGCACTTATAGACTGCAGTATAGTATAAACGTAACTTTTATATGCAGTGAGAAACCAAAAAAATTCCTTTGACTCAGCTTTATCATGATATTCACTTTATTGCAGTGGTTCGTACTGAACCCACAGTATCTCCAAGGTCTGCCTATACAGGTACAACGATGCCACCCTCAAAGATTCGGAACCAGATCTGAGTAGAGGCTAGGCATTTGTGTAGTTTGGTTTAAACCCAAGGTGATTCTCATGAGCAGGCAGGATTGAAAGCCACTGATTTTAAAGACTTTTCCATGCAATTTACACACGACAGTCTAAAGAGCCCACAAAAAATTAAGACCAATATGTATCAAACTTTGTTTTTGATGTCAAAGCCAGGGTCCCTGATCTCAAAACTTAATTAAAACAGATCATTAGGTTCAAGA